GACGATTTAATTCCTTCAATTTCTTCTACGATGCCACCGCCAGAATATTTACTATTTTATTGTCCCCGCAGCACTGCAGCAGCAGCAGCAGCAGCTGCTGCTGCAGCAGCAGCAGCAGATACAGCAGCAGCTCCTGAAGGGGCTATACCCCCTGCAGCAGAAGCAGGAACAGGAGAAACTGCAGCAGCACCATCACCAGCAGCAGAAACAGCAGCAACTGGTGCAGCAGCAGCAGCAGGAACAGCAGCAGCAGCAGCAGCAGCAGGAACAGCAGCAGCAGCAGCAGCAGCAGCAAGTGTACGAGTTCGTTGTTATCCATTAGGTTTATCATGTGCTGCTGCTGCTGCTTATCTTATTGAATTCTTTTTGCCGCTGCTTGCTGCTGCTGTTGCTGCAGCAAACCCTCTTTGTATTGCATGGATGCCACAAGGAGACAGCAGCAGCAGCAGCAGCAGCAGCAGCAGTCTCCTTCTGTCTCCCCCTGTCTCCTTTCCCCTCTTTTGGCAGTCTATACAACAACAGCAACATACTAGTACAGTAGCAGCAGCAGATACAGCAGCAGCAGCAGATGCAGCAGCAGCAGCAGCAGACACTACAGCAGCAGATACACCACAAGGAGAGACAACAGCAGCAGCAGCAACAGCAACAGCAGCACCATTCCTGCTGCAGCAGCCAAAGCGTCCTTGGGATATTTACCTCACCTTGCTGCCTACCGAGCAGCAGCAGCAGCAGGATCAGCAGCAGCAGCAGCAAGAGGAGGAGGAGGAGAGAGATGCAGCAGCAGCAAAGTTATTAGATATAATAAGGAGACAGTTAGTTGCTGCTAATTGTCCCCTTAATGGGGTGTATGCAGCAAAGGAGACTGCTGCGCTGCAGCAAACACTAACAGCAGCAAAAGTATTTGTTAATAATCATGCTAAGGATATACAGCAGCAGCAGCAACAGCAGCAGCAGCAGGAACAGCAACAACAGCAGCAGCAACAACAACAACAACAGCAGCAGCAACAACAACAACAGCAGCAGCAGCAGCAAGAAATAAATATATCTATTGGTGCCTTACCTGTGCTGCATTGGTTGCTGCTTATGGAGATAAAAAATCTTCTAAGAAATAAATCAACAAAAGGATGCTATTTACACGTAAACCCTAAACCCTAAACCCTAAACCCTAAACCCTAAACCCTAAAAATCCTAGATTTGTATCTATCAGGTGTCTTCTTGTGTGGTTTACTGCTTATTGATTCTCCTGTTACTACTGCTGCTAATGTTGCTGCTGCTGTTGCTGCTGCTGCTGCTGCTGCTGCTGCAGACCTGCTTCTCTGGGCAGCAGCCTTATGTGGAGGTTGTGGGGCCCCGCTTGCCGCTGCTGCAGCTGCTAGCAGCTATTAAGGGTTTGCTGCAGCAGGCTGCTCCTATTACGGTGTATAGGCAGGTAAGCAGAAACTTGCTGCTGCTGCTGCTGCTGCTGCTGCGTAGATAGTATATGATAGTAAAAAGAGGTACTTGCTGCTGCTGCTGGTGGTGCTGTATGCGGTGCTGCTGCTGCTGCATGTGCTGCTGCTGCATCTGTACAGATCTTCTTAGGCCAACGGCCGCAGCCACCAATACGTACTGCTGTTGCAGCAGCAGCAGAAGCTGCTGCGCCTGCTGCTGCAGTGTGGGGAGAGCAGCAGGGGGAGCAGCAGCACCGTCAGTTGCTGCTCTTAGGATGGACCCGTCGTTCTCTGCAGGCAGCAGCAGCAGCAGCAACAGCAGCAGCAGCTGCTGCTGTAGAAGGTGCTGCATATCCACCAGCAACAGAAGAACCACAGATGGCTGCTGTGAGCAATATAAACCCTCAATATATATAGTACAAAAAATCTAGGGTTTAGGGTTTAGGGTTTGGGGTTTGGGGTTTAGGGTTTAGGGTTTGGGGTTTGGGGTTTAGGGTTTAGGGTTTAGGGTTTTGGGGTGTATACGCAGCTACCTTTGGATATAATACCTCAAGAATTACGTTGGGGCTTTTCTTTGCTGCGTCTTCTGCAAACCCCTCTTGGCAAAGAATTAAGAACAGCAACAAAGTAAACCCTAAACCCTAAACCCTAAACCCTAAACCCTAAACCCTTGTTGTTGCATATTCAAACCCTAATTATAAAATTGTGTATATATTTTTGTATATTTGTTTTGCATTCCCTATCTTCTTTTTTCCCTTTTATATTTTATATTTTGTATTTTAGGGTTTAGGGTTTAGGGTTTAGGGTTTAGGGTTTAGGGTTTTGGGGTGTATATGCAGGTATTATAAGGGTAAATTAGTGTTTGATGGTATAAATTGTTCATTAAACTTTTTATGTATAAATTGTTGTCGTTATTTAGCTGAGGATACACTCCAATTATCTTTGCTGCAGTTAGCAGCAGCAACAGCAAACAGCAGCAAGTTGCTGCCATGGCAAGCTGCTGCTGCACTCTCCGCACAAGCTATACATGATGCACATTTGCTGCTGCTGCAGCAACAGCAGCAGCAACAGCAGCAGGTAGAGGAGGATGAGGAACAGAGACAGCAGCAGGAACAGAAACAGCAGCAGCAGGAGGAAGGGGAGGAGGTGCAGCAGCACGCTGCTACAGACGATTCTATACAAGATACTGAATCACCTGGTGCTGCTGCTGCTGCAGCAACAGCAGCAACAGCAGCAGAAGCAGCACCTGTTGTGTTACCGTTACCTTCTCTTTCTTTCCCTCTGTTGACGGAGGCAATGGGTGGATCTGCAGTGCTGCCTGTGTCTCCTCCTGCTGCTGCAGCAGCAGCAGTAACAGCAGCAGCAGCAGCAACAGCAGCAGGAGGGTGTGGGGTTGTGGGGCATCTGCCATTAACAGAGGGGGACGACCACCTCCAACTGCAGCAACAGCAGCAGCAACAGCAGCAGCAGCAGCAGCAGCAGGTAGCGGAGGGTTTAGAGGAATTAGGGTTTAGTGTTACAAACCCTCCTGCTGCTTCTCGTGATTTGTGGTTGCTGCTGTCTCCTGGTGGTGGTTTATCTGCTGCTTCCTTGGAGGTGCTGCTGCAGCTGCAGCAGCAGCAGCCAGAGCAGCAGCAGCAGCAGCAGCAGCAGCAGCAGCAAACCCCTCCTAGGAGGCAGAGGCGGCTGCTGCTGCTAGAGGCAGAAGCATTTGGTGCCCCTCGTTGCCCATGGAAGGGACTCATTGCTTCTGGTGCTGCTGCTGCTGCTGCCCCTGCTGCTGCTGCTCCTGCTGCAGCAGCAGCAGCAGCAGATGCTACGCCGCCATCTGAGTTCAGCAGCGATGAACCACCCAAAGAATCCGAACACAGCAGCAGCAGTAGCAGCAACAGCAGCAGCAGCAGCAGCAGCAGCAACAGCAGCAGCAGCAGCAGCAGCAGCAACAGCAGCAGCAGCAGCAACAATGACAAAAACAGCAACAATGCCAGCAGCAGCAACAACAACAATGCCAGCAACAGCAACAACAACAATGACAGCAACAGCAACAACAATGACAGCAGCAGCAGCAGCAGCAGCAGCGGCAGCAGCAGCGGCAGCAGCAGCAGCGGCGGCAATTGTACTGGTTGTGATTCTGAGGTATCTGAGGGTTTAGATGGACAAACAAAGCAACAAACAAAACCCTACAAGGGTTTAGGTCTTGTTGCTCGTGTTGGTGCTGCATGCAGCAGCAGCAGCAGCAGCAACAGCAGCAGCAGCAGCAGCAATACCTGCTGCCCTCCTGGGTGTATTCACGAGCAGGAAGCAATTGAAAACTACAAACAAATCCTCCTTGCCACAGAACATCAAGGTACGCAAACCCTAAACCCTAAACCCTAAACCCTAAACCCTAATTCCCTATTCAAGAGTGTTGTATGGCATATTAGGGTTTAGGGTTTTTTGTGTGTAATATATATAAACCCTCCTGTTCTTTATAAGTAACACTGTCTTCTCTCATGATGGTTTATTAGGGTTTACAAGGGTTTATGAGGGTTTACAAGGGTTTATGAGGGTTTAGGGTTTAGGGATTTTTTAGGGTTTTCCAAGGGTTTAGGGTTTAGGGTTTAGGGTTTAGGGTTTAGGGTTTAGGGTTTATGGTATGTATATACAGGTATAGTAGGAAGGAGTTTACCTCTATCAGAGTTTCTTCTTCCTTGGTCATTAGGAGGAAGATTTCTTGGGCCTAAAGGAGAAAATCGCAAAAAGTTCTTAAGAAGGACAGGAGCTTATCTTGCTGTTGTTAATGCTAAATTACAGGCAAGATTATATTAGGGTTTACGAGGGTTTACAAGGGTTTACGAGGGTTTATTAGGGTTTACAAGGGTTTATGAGGGTTTATTAGGGTTTACAAGGGTTTATGAGGGTTTATTAGGGTTTACGAGGGTTTATGAGGGTTTAGTGTTTCGCATACCTCCCTTCTTCTCCCCTTTAAATGATTATTAATTAATTAATTAATTAATTAATTAATTAATTAATTAAATTATTTATTTATTTATTTATTTATTCTTATAGGGCCCCGATGGTCGTCAATGGCGTAGGGTACTAGTAGGGGGCCCCCTTTATTCACGAATAAAAATGACGAAAGAAATCTTCCGTTTATTACAAATAAATGAATATTTTTCTTCTTCTCCTTCTTATACAAAACAACAAACAAAAATATATGCTAATGTATATCTAAACCCTAATCATAATCTAATTAACCCTAATAAACCCTAATTATTTTATTTATATATTTTCTCCCTTTTTACCGATTTTTTTTAACCCTTTTACTCATTTTTTTCTTCTTTTATTTACCGTTTAGGGTTTAGGGTTTAGGGTTTAGGGTTTAGGGTTTAGGGTTTAGGGTTTGTGTTATTCAGGATGAATCCTTCCCTTTGGCGAAGTTGTTGCATCTCCAAGCCCTCAGACAAAACCCTCCTCCTATCATCTCCGGTAAACCCTAAACCCTAAACCCTAGTAAACCCTAGTAAACCCTAGTAAACCCTTTTCTTGAGGAAAGAGTCAGCAGCGATTTCTTTTGTTTAGTAGTAGGAT